TTGTGGTTTGTAAATTGGCGATTGTGGCATAAGTTTATGTTGTAAATGGATATTGTGCTTAAATCGTGGTATAGTATATGATTTGGTGGTTTGGCAATTTATTCTCCCTAGCACCCCAGGTAAATTATTGTTTGGGTGTTTGGTGTTTCCGCTGCGATTAAACTCTGATGGGTTCGTTTTGGGTCGACGACGTTTCCTGGGACGTCGCACTAATTCGACTTAAGAGGGATGTCGCGTGCTCGAGGGGTTCGGGGCGTGACAAAAAAAAGGAGGGGGAGAAGTCAGGCGAGCCCTCCCCGCCGCCGCTGCCCAACCACCATCACCGCCGGGGCCAACCCCTACCTAGTGGCAATCCTCGGCCAGGTCTGGGCGAGGGCCTAGGCCCTCACTTGCCACTAGCCCCTCCCGGCGAGGAGGGGCCCTCCTTGCCTGACTTCTCCCCCTCCCTTTTTTTTTAAAATCTAATTTAAATAAAATTTTTATTAAAATAATAACAAAAAGTCACATCATCACCACGTAGGATAAAAAAAATTAATAAGAAAAATCACGTTAGCATTTTCCGTTAATAAATTTGACGGTGTTAACTTTAGGACTCGATTGAACCAACTTGATAAGTTTTAGGACTCAATTGCACTTTTTGCAAGTTTTAAGACTCAATTGCACTTTCATGACAAGTTTTAGGACTTGTAGTTAACATATCCAGAAAGAATAGATTTGTTACAGCATTAGAGTTTCTACGGTCCGTAAAAAAGAATATGAGACAAAGTACGTCAAAAGCAAAAAGTCAGTGAAAGAATGACATCCACGAGAGTTCCATGAAAGAAAAAAAAAGGTGGGACAAACAAAATATCATTAATAGAAACCATATACAATCATAGTACCAGGCCAAAAAAACAGTTCATCCAATCCCAAAAAGAAAGGCTCTATTTTGCCAAAAGCACAAAAGAGCCATCCAAAATCAGTTAACAGAAGAGCTAAATCATCAGAAGTGCCAACCAAAACTAAATTTTTCCAAGCATCTATTGTAAGAGCACCATGACGAATAAACATACAAAAACTATCTGCATGATTTACAGAAGATCCAATCAATAATTGCAGTTCACATATGAAATAAGAATGAAGAGAACTAATGTGGACCTCCTGCTTTCCAGACTCGTAAACAATTGCTACAACCGAAGAAAGTCTATAGTTATCTACCTTCCAAAAACAACTGAATACTCAGATGATGCCAAGAATCAAGATCTTGTCCAATCAAATCATTTTTCTAATATCCAGCTAAGAAAAACCATTGCAGATTGAAGGACACTCTATATCGAAGTTAATTCTGACCTACAAAAGAAAAAGAACTGAAAAACATCCTCTTTGAAGACAATTGAAGGAACTAGAATCAATAATATTGGAACCATTCACTGCCCAGAATCCATGAAATGGGAAGTATCAACAATGCTCGAAATTTGTCAGCGATGAACACACAAATCGGTGCCCTTACCAAAAAAAAAAAAAACACACAAATCGGTGCACCTACAGATTTGTAATCAGCAAGACAACCCTCTTCTGCCACTTGTCATCCAAAGAATGAGATGATCGTCAAGGGAGAAAGTCAGAATTATGTTCAGACTTCAAATTAAAGAGAGGGATTATGAAAGAAGTCAAATACAGACATCAAACTTCTTCAGATAGCTCTATCATCATAATCATGTGTCCTAAAGGTGTATCCAAATCTGACCGTTCAAGTAAATCTCAAGACAGTAGAGTAGCATATGGCCTCAAAAACAGTTCATAGTCAGTCGAGATTATATCGTGCTTAGCCAACCTGTCAGAAAAACCATAGGCAGACAAATTCCCAATAACAGATTCAGGTCCCTTAAAGGCGAAGGAGATACAGCAGGACCTCTTCATTGGTACGAACATCTATAAGTATGACTGGCATCTCAGTTAGTTCTCAATTTTCATTACCTCTTTTGATTGATGACAGCACAAACGATATAGCCTTGCAAGTTAAGCATTAACTAGAAGGAAAATGAGTAAAACGGACAAAATACTTAGAAATCAGAATTAGAGATAGCTTTCATATGAATACATGACTCAAGGTAGGTAGCAAACTTAATCCAGAACATCCATTTTTTAACAAGAACTAGGTTATTATAATGAAAACACGGAAGTTCTCTGCATTACAACAGGTTGTCAATAGTACTAGAAACTGGACGTAAGTAATTACTTCCAGATCTAATAGCATTTCTGATAACCATCCTGTCAATCTAATTAAAAGCATACTATCAAAAATACTTCCAAGTCCAGCCAATCTGAACAGGATTCTACCAATTGATGCAAAAGTATCACACCCCCAAAAAAAATTCTGCATAGGTGACACCAACTTCCGGAGTAGAAATTGGAAAAAAAATTATAAGAAAACAAACCAAAAACTTGAAGCACAGAGAAAGGGGTCACCATTGTGGGTGCTTAAGACCTAAACCACTCGGGAAATCTCTTCCAGTAGGAGTGTAATATGTCCAGCCGCCAGTTCAACGTTCTTAGTGAAGAATCTCTAACATGACAAATATGACGAAAGTGCAGATTGAATTTGAAACAAGTGAATATTAAACACTAAACATGACAAATAAGACAGTTCACATTTCTGCAAGTTTATCCAACGAGGTAGCCATCTTTTGACCGAGTATATCCACATAGACTTTCAAAGTAAGACAGCAATCCAGATAAGACCAGGACTATTGCTTCAGGTATGTGCTATCAATGGAGCACATTTATTAAGTGGCACATTCAGGGAAACAAGATCGCACCAATGAATAATATATATAAAAAAAGGGACAACTACAGGGTACTGTAACATTATAAATTATTGATTGTCACAGACGGAGCAAGCATAGACAGCATTTGATCAAGTAAAGTCAACCATGTATCGCAGTCATTGGCATCCTGGAACAAGTTAGGAAATATGCCAGGTTAGCATCAGTTTTACTGATGTGAGGACAATACCTATTGCATTACGGGTATCTAGCAAGAAGGAATATAATTTCTGCCTGTCACCATCCCCATTATATAGTTGTCCTCAGATCTGCCCAATTATGCTTGATCTATATTCCGCCAAACAACAATTATCATAGTTGTCCTAATATATAAAATTGCAAATATTTGCTCCACAAAGTAAGAAACTGACAATAAACAGGAACAGCTCTCCATACATCCTGTGCGGGAAGCGTGAATTCCTATGCGAGGTCTTAAGAACTCTGCCCTAGAAGATCTTTTCTTTTTCCATAAACTGCAAAACTTGCGTGCTAGCTGCCTCGTCCTCCAAAGAATCAGCCATTATTAAACAGCAATTGTCATTTTCTAAGCAAGTGGCGACCCGCGGCGGCGGCGGGCGGGCAGGCGGCGACCGGCGGCGGGCGGGCGGGCGGCGACCGGCGGCGGGCGGCCAACGGCGATGACGGGCGATCAACTTCCTCTCCCACGGAAAATATTTTCCTCCCATGAGCAATTTTCCCTTCACTTTGGGGAAAATGATTTCCTCTTTGTGAAAAGAGGAAATCATTTTTCTCAAAACAATGAAGGAATTGGGGGTGGGGAAGGAAAATATTTTCCCAGGGAAAACATTTTCCGCCCCCGAATACTAGAAAACGCAAAAAATGTTTTCCGGAAAATATTTTTCCGCAAACGAACATAGCTATATATTTATATAGGTGATAAGTCTTTCTCGTACCTCTACTTAAGCTCATAGTCACGATCGGTGCTCCCAATCGATGACCAGAACGTGCGCAATCTCTGGCCAATCTTCACGGCCATCTGTTAGGCACCACTCTTTCAGAGCATCACAATCATCGATTCTCAATTCCGTCAAGCGTGTGAGGTTGCGCATCTCCAATGGCAAACGCTTTAAATTCCGACATCCAATTAATACAAGCTTTTCGAGCAAAGAGAAATTTCCAATCCATTCCGGCAAACTCTGCAGATCCTGACAGCGAGAAATCTCGAGAGATTGTAGAGTCTTGACATGTTGAATCTCTTCGGGTAATACCGTCAAAGTATGAGGACCATAGATTTCAAGGACACGAAGTTTCGTAAGGAATCGCCATTGGATGCCGTGCTCGTCTTCTTCGCACAATAAATGAAATCCTTCAACTCCCACAATGATGAGTTTCTGGAGCGAGGAAAGGTGCTGCATGCCAGAGAGACTCCTTTGTTGGCAAAAGTCGAGGCGCAAGGACTCGAGATTACTAGCCAATTGGAATAGAGTCTCGAGCTTCGAGGGCTCCAGATCACTACCACTAAGATGTAGATGCTTTAGTTCAGAGAAAGGGATGAATGTGGATCCCATTGCTGCTTCTGATGGGCAATTTGGATTGGCCAACAGTTTCGTTCCTTCTATGTGCAACGCTTGCACCTGGGGGAATGGTGCCACGTCATTCAAGTGGGGACAGCCCCATATTGTCACGCACCGAAGTTTTTGGAATGATGACCGTGAATTGTCTGGCCGATGCTTTTTATCTGCTCCTATTAGTTGCCTTCTTCCCAACCATCCTTTCATGTTTCCGCAATCGATGAGGGACAGTCTCTCAAGAGATGGGAAGAAGGGGCGTGTAGTATTAGATTGCTCCAGTCACTTGTCTCTGAAGGAACTCCAACGCAGGCAAATAATGGAGACTCAACGTCTTTAGGGAAGGAGTTCACTCAAGGGTGGTAGGTGGCTTAGTGACCTACAACGTTCAATTGAGAGGTTTCTAAGATTGACCAATTTCCTCAAATCTCTTGGAAATGTTTTAAGGTTCATACATTCACAAAGTTGAAGGACCTGCAAGTTCACCAAATCCATGATTGAATCTGGCAAACTCTGCATAGATTGGTTTGCAGAAATCCTAAGAAACCTTAAGTGCTTCAACTTTTTAAAAGAGGAGGGAGGGAGAGGAATATTTGTACGAGCCAAAACTAATGCTCGACAGTGTCTACACTCAGACAAAACTTTGGAAGAGTTGAGTGAAGAGGAATTACGATAAACGTCCGTAATTTGGATGTTTTGAGCATGGACACCATTTTCTCTTCGTAGAGAAATCTCGAAATAAACGCATGTCGAATTGTTCATCATTATCTCCTCCTCTAAAATTAACAGTCTTGCATTCACCTCCCCCAACTTTTTGGGCAAGATCATGCATGAGATCATGCATCTTGAAATTTATGACCTCACCAATGTTGTTTATGCGTATAACATCGAGGAATGACCTACCTAATAGTTCTTCCAAGTAATTGTTAGCAACCTCTTCAAGGTCATCCTCCCTGCTGTGGGACTCAAGAAAGCCTTGTGCCACCCAAAGTTGTATCATCTCCTGTTTACGATAGATATAGTCTTTCGGAAACAATGAGCAATATGCAAAACAATGTTTCAAGCATGACTGGAGACGATCGTAACTGAAATTGAGGACTTGCATAATTCCATCATCAACCTCATCAATTTCTGGTATTTCTGGAAATTCGTGCACTTTGTAACGGAACCATTCATCTTTCTTTTTGCCGTACAAAAGGCCTCCAATAGTTCTAATGGCAAGGGGAACCCCTGTGCATTTTTTAACTATATCTCGACCTATCTCCTCCAGTGCTGGGTCTACCCCATCTCCAAAAGCCATTTTCCTGAATAAGTTCCACGACTCATTTTCAGCTAGGCCACGTAGAACATGAATAACTGATTTCTCATCCATGACCTTTGCAACTTTGTGGCTGCGAGTGGTTACAAGTATCTTGCTTCCCGGTAAACCACCCTCTAGCCATTCTCCAAGCTCGAACCATTTATGCCGAACTTCATTCCACAAGTCATCCAAAACAAGCAAGTATTTCTTCCCAGATAGAGTCTCACAAAGAAGACTCGGCAACTGGTCTTCAGGCTTATTCTCAACATCTTCTGATAACTTTTTCATCTCATCATCATGTCCTCGACAGTCACTTTTTGCAGATTTAAGAATTTCTTTGAAAATCAGATCCACATCAAAGACATCAGATACACAAACCCACATCTTAAGCCCGAAATGTCCTTTTACCTCCCCATCGTTGTATACTAGTCGTGCAAGTGCGGTTTTTCCAAGACCTCCTTTACCGACGATGGAAACCACGGACACAGTGTTGCTAGAGGAGGAATCAAACAAAAGTTGTTTGATCTTTTCTTTGTCCTCTTCCCTACCAATTATTTTAGTGTCAGGTGCGAGAAATTCAGGTTTCTTTCGTCTTCCGGTGACCATTTTTTCCTCACTCGGAAGCAGCGTAAAGTTGAAATTATTATTATATGCGAATTCATCCAGTTTCTTCCTAAGTTGCCGAATCTGATTAGCCACGTTGAAGCCGTGCGCAAGCTGATTTGATTCGGAGAAGAAAAGGCATACCTCTTTCATCATCTTGTTGCCAGCCATAGCTTGTCGCCTCAGGTCTTCGGTCGAGATGTCATCGAACAAGTCCTGTGCATCGTACAGCACATCCTTGAGCCTCTCGACCCAGTGCTCGACCCGTTTGTCCTGCCATTGCTGCTTCTCGGCATCCGGAAGCACAAGTTGGATGGTCTTGACAGTTTCCCTAAGACTATGGAGCTCGCCCTCGCCACAGCAGAACAATTGGATCATTTGAGAAGCGTAGGCGCCTCCAGGTTTCGCAATTTGGGAGCCGATGCTTTCCATTATGCCAGTGGCAATGCTGTAGAGCAGTGACTCGGCCATTTCCAAAGGCAAAATCAGGGGTCGAGAAGGCTGCAGAGCTGATGCTTTTGTTGAGAGACAATAGTTTGGTGGTGCGGCATGATCAACTTCATGCACGAATATACAGCAAGGCCCAACGGCATTTCCATGTTAGTTCATGGTCAGTCACTGTTGTAAATTCAGTGGGAATGGATTTGACCAATAAGAAGATAAGCATGTGCAAATGTTAGGTGGTGTGATCAACTTCATGCACGAATATACAGCAAGGCCCAACGGCATTTCCATGTTAGTTCATGGTCAGTCACTGTTGTAAATTCAGTGGGAATGGATTTGACCGATAAGAAGATCAGCATGTGCAAATGTTAGGTGGTGTGAAAGGCGCGTGGGGTCCAGAAAAAAAGGGCAAAAGAACACTACAAATGTCATAACTTGTATACGGCGCTCACTTTGGTGCCATAAGTTTTTTTTGATCACTTTAGTGCTAAAATTTTTGAAAAACGATCACTTAAGTGCTAAAATTTTTGAAAAACGATCACTTAAGTGCCAACTCCGGTGTCGTACACAATTTTTCGCCAGAAATCCGATGTGGCATTTTTTTTTATTAATTTTTGAAGCTGACGTGGCTCGCCGGAGATTGGTACTTAAGTGATCGTTTTTTAAAAAATTTAGCACTTAAGTGATCGTTTATAAAAAATTTTAGCATTGAAGTGATCCAAAAAAAACTTTTGGCACTTAAGGCTGTGTTCGTTTGCGGAAAAATATTTTTCCGGAAAACATTTTCAGCGTTTTCCGGTGTTCGGGGCGGAAAATGTTTTCTGTGGGAAAACATTTTCCTTCCCCACCCCCAAATCCTTCATTGTTTTGAGGAAAATGATTTCCTCTTTTCACAAAGAGGAAATCATTTTCCCCCAAATTGAAGGCAAAATTGCCCATGGGAGGGAAAATGTTTTCCGTGGGAGAGGAAGTTGATCGCGGTCACCGCTGCATTGGCCGTGGCCGCCGGCCGCCTGGTTGCCGCCACGCGCCTGGGCCTCGGCCGCCGCCTTTCCGCTGCCGCTTTGCATTGGCTGCGCCGCTTGCCACGGCCGCTGCGCTGGGTCCACGCTGCTGGCTGGCCGCCGGCTGCTGCGACCGCCGGCTGGCGCCGTGCCATTCGCTGCTGCTGGTCACTGCTGCCTTTGTCCTGGCTGCCGCCGGCCCATGATGGCTTGTCGCCGCGAAAAAATTCGAAACTTTTTCATATTGATCGCCGAACACCGGAAAATTATGTTCCAGAAAACATTTTTCGGAAAATGACTTGGAAAATATTTTCCAAAAGGAGAATATTTTCCGCCAAACGAACGGAGCCTAAGTGATCATTTTTCTTCCGATTTGGCACTTAAGTGAGCCGGCGAAAACTTTTGACACTAAAGTGAGCGCCGTACATAAGTTATGGCACTTATAGTGTCCTTTTGCCAAGAAAAGAAGGGACTAAAGAAAGAAAGAGGGAAGACCAAAAGCCTATAGGTCTAAAAAGCAGGTTGCCCCGTATGTTTTTATTGAAAATTTTCTAGTTTTTTGTTTTCATTTTCGTTTGAACGTGAAAACAGTATTGAAAAAAAGCCTTCGGTCACGTATTGAGAGTAGTTTCCAAAGGAAAACCCAAAATTGTTTAAGTAATCCTAGAGTTGATGAGGAGAAGGTCACAAGAGATTGCTGAAAAATACTCTCAAGTACTGGTATTGGTCAGGAGATTTCTAGTGAATGCACTTCATACGATGAGCTATTGGGTAATTAGATTTCCATCGCGATCGGATGTCGAACTCTGGAAAGAGTCTGGCCATGTAACTTTGTTGATTATTCTAGGGCTAATATTACGAAAAATCCTAAACTGGTACACCTGTGAAAAATTTATTCCAAACTAATTTTTTGACCACAAAAAACCCCAAACTGCTACACTTGTAACAAATTTACCCTCCGTTAAATTGGATTAATACCACAAAAAATCATAAATTGATAAATATGTTACAAAAAGAGGGGTAAAGCCCTAAACTGATATATCTGTCAGCTGCCACGCGTCATCTAACTCAGCAATTTGACAGTAAAATTTAACGGAAACTAACATATGGTAAATTTATCACAGGTGTACCGGTTTGGGGTTTTTGGTAGTCAAAAAATTAGTTTGGAGTGAATTTGTCACAGGTGTACTAATTTGGGGAGTTTTTTGTGGTAAACTAATGGAGAGTAAATTTTGTTTAAGCCGGTGATGGTAATATCAATGAGAGGACAAGAAAGTTTATATTCCTTGGTTATGAACAAGGTGAGCGAGAATAAGTATACGATGCACGAAATTATATTCACATGTTGTTAGTAGATAAGTTAGATTCTCTGTTACGCTACTTCTGGATAGAAGTGATTGTGAATGTGGCGGTGTTTAGGCAGATGCGTAGCTGAAGAGAATTATTGGCAGTCGATGATGAAGTTCCCTAACAATGCCAATGGCAATCGCAAAGTTCACGGGGCAATTGCAAAGTTGTCCGGACTTCACTTTCAGTCAATCTCCGTAGTGGGAATGGAAATTGACCAATAAGAAGATAAAGCTTGTGGAAATGTTTGGCGGTGTGAAAGAAAGACGCATGAGGTCCAGGAAAAAGAGAGGAAGGACCCGATAAGAAGACAAGTGTGTGCAAAAACAGGCTTATGATCTTGCATGGGGATAGACCCAAAGAAGGGTAAGCCACCTGCTGCAACCGCTATGCAAGTGAAAATGATTTAAAACTTCAGCATCTGGTGCTACCTGGTAGACACATAAGTGTATTCAGATCCATCAAGATCAGCAATCAATGTCTACAAGTGCAGTTTTCAACATCCAGTAGCGAAATGCTCCTACGAAATTAGAATATCCTGCAAGCCATAATGAGAGCATATCGGCTGACCAGTTTAATTGGGAGTAGCCATGAGCCCTAGTTGTTTTTACCTTTCAAGAATTCATTTAACGTGATGCTTGTGCTTGGACATAGTAAGAGTCCTTGTTCCTTCTGCTGCTACTGACATGGATTCCATTCTAAAATCAGTCCATACGATGTATCCAAGCAGCTCAGCCAATATCAAGAATTCCTAATATCTGTTTAAGAACAAAGCATGCCGCAGTAAAAAAGGAATACTTAACCAGTTAAAACACTCCTAACAATATTCTTTCAAAAGCTAGTGTTATATCAGATTTTGACCAAACAATTTTCGTGGATTGCACTCCAAATTAATAGCTTGATGACCACTTAAGAAAGGCACTCATATCAACGTACAAACACACAGCTGTCCATGAAAACTCCATTTGTGGCTGGCACGGATGGAGTAGAAACGCAAGTGGGCAATGCTATGTCGTGGATAACTTTTGGAAGATTCCCAATGGACGAAGTCCGAGCTTGATATGCCCGAAATCGATAGGCTTCCCCTAGCTAGTCTATCTCATGGCTTGACTATGAGGCAAAAGCAAAGCACGTTGCCCTGTTTGTTTAGAGAAATTGCCCCCTTCTTTGTTTTCATTTTCGTGAAATTAGTATGTTAAGAAGCGTTTGGTCGTGTATTCAGAACCGTTTCCAAAAAAAGCAGTTTTCAAAATCGTTTAAGTGATTGTATAGATGATGAGTAGAACACTATGAGAGATAACCAATAAATTGCTCTCTAGTGCTAATATGATTAGAAGATTCCGAGCGGATGCACTTTATATGATGAGGTACTGATATATAGATTTTTATCGACTACGATCGCATATCAATCTACCGAAAAAGTTTGTCAAAAACGATGCAGCAAAAGCAAAGCAAGTAGCCTTGTTTCGATAGAAATCAGGACACTTGTGTGGTGTCAGATTGACGAATACGTGTGGAATGGACATACATTGAGCGGTGGGTTGAAATGAATCTTTACGAGGTACATTGCCGCTGTTAAATACATTTTCCACAGGCCTGAGCCTTGCTTGTGTGATCTATCTTGTACACTTGATATATCGAAAATTTGTCAATCCTAAACGCACATCATCATGGCTCCATAATTTATCATCGAGCAATAATTTCATATCAGTAACAAGAATTCATACTTTCATATAAATTAAATTTGGCATATTTGGGATGATTTTGTTCAACTCACGCACACTGTAAGCATTATGATCACTGGTGGTATTTATGTTATTTTCATATATGAATTTAAAGAAAATTAAAATCTAGGTGATGACAATAATGTTAACTAAATTGTAAACATCAAATACAAATTGATTGGATTTGCGTAGAATTATGTTCTTATATGTTAGAACTCACTTATGTGTTAAAAATAAATAAATAAATAAATATATAAGAAAAAAAACGTGATGAAAAATGAGAGAGAAAGTCAAACTAAGATGATCATTTAACAACTTAAGAATTTTCCTGAAAGGAATAAAAACGAAAAAAAACTGGAAGTCGGCAAAACAAACCAAAGCCCACTGGCTGTAATTCGACACTCACGGATCTCCCTCCCATCCATCCAAAAATTCTCCCTTTCATATTATTTTATAGATATTAAGGCTCCATTTGTTTCGCGATAAATAAATAATTTGAAAAATATTTTTCAAAAAATGGTCACTTGTATCTAGACATGGCCATGGTTCAGGAACCGCCGGTTCCGAACCGGAACCGGTGGTTCCAGTTCGTGGCCATGTATGAACCGGAACCGGCGGTTCCGGGCCGGTTCCGGTTCCGGTTCGAAGGGGGAGGAGGAGAAAAGGGGAGGAGGCGTAGGGTAGCGAGGGAGAAGGAGGAGGGGGCGTCGGCGTCGGCGGCTGCGGCCATGGGCGGGGGTGACGGCGGCGACAGCGGCGGGGGTCAGATCTGGGAAGACGGGGGGCGGGCGGAGGAGAAAAGGGGAGGACCGGAGGAGGCGCAGGGGAGAGGGGGGAAGGGGCTGGCCGGTGAGGGAGCTGAAGAGGACGAAGACGGCGTGGACCCCCGGCAGGTTCAGCGCGGAGGAGTTGCCGGGGAAGTGGGTCACGAGCTTGACGCCGATGTAAGGGAGGGAAGGGTGGGAGGACCAGGAGGGCATGAGGAGGAGGGAGGTGGAGGGGGCGGCGGAGGGGGAGGACTGAGGAGGGAGCTTGAAGCCCTCGACTCCAGGAAGATGAACAGATTACTCGAGTTTTTTTTTTTTTTTTTGGAACCGGAGCCGGGCCCGGTCAACGGGCCGGTCCCAAGTTTGACCCGGGCCGATTCCGGGCCAAAACCGGCCCGTGGCCATGTCTACTTGCATCGCTTACAAAAATAAATGAACGAAAAATATTTTCGTCGCATACGAAAATATTTAGACATAAATTGTTGTATGTAATGAAAATAATCTTCATTAATTAATTATTTCAAGCGATACAAGCGATTATTTTTAGGAAAGTATTTTCCAAATCATTCATTTTCCGCGAGACAAATGGAACCTAAGTCAATTTACCGAATTGACTCACTTTGCTTCCTTCCAGAACAATTAACAATTAATATCAGCAATTCAAGCATCTATTTGCTCCTCTCAAAGAATAATTACCTTCGCTCATTTCATTCATGGAAAAAATAACTGACCTTTCTTTTTTTGGAGACAATCTCAATCTATAATCTTTTCTTTTTATATGCGCATTTAATTTTGTGAGCACGTAGTAAGCTAATAAAAGTAAGATTACAGGATTCTGGCAAGAAAAAGAAAAAAACTGGAAAACAGAAAATAAGAAATGAGATTACAGCAATGGCGGCTTTTGAATGAACCGATAAAATCAGCAATAGGAAGAATCGAACTCGAATCCTTCCCACCAACAACCTTCTCTCCTTTTGTGTGCTTGGCGTTGATCGTTTCTACCCTTGGAGTTGTTGATTCTTTTTGAGCTGCGACTGGAGGAATGGGAATGACAAATTAGAAGACAAAAGCATGTGGAAATGTTAGGTGGGTGTGAAAGACCCAAAAAATTGTTGTCCTATCGACCACAGCAGATGTGGCCCCAGTGTCCACACACACTATAAGAATCTTGTAAGGTTTCATTCTTCGAAGGCGACACTGATTTGCGTTACCGAGATGGTTTCCAAGTCTCGCGTGATATATAATTGCGGGCAAAAAGTACACCATGTCTGCCATAACTCAGTTACGGCGATCACTTTGGCCAAAACTTTTTTCTGATCACTTTGGGCCAACTTTTTGAAAATCGATCACTTTAGTGCCAATGCCGACGTGGCTCACGGAACCGATGTGGCTGACACGGCCACGGAGAGGTCCAACAAGATTAAAAACCAAAAACGACGCCGTTTAGCCCGCTGACGTGTATTTTTTTTAAATATTAATTAATTAATTAATTTTAAAAAAAAACCCTGCAGCAGCGGCGAGGGAGCCCTCGCCGTTGCTGCCGCCAAGCCACCACCGCCGGGAAGGGCCGACGGTGGTGGGCGCAGTGGTCGGCGAGGGTCGCCGGCCCCTGGCCGGGGCCCGACAACCCTCGCCGACCCCGGCGACCCTCGCCTCGCCAGGCGAGCCGGATCCGGCGAGGCGAGACCTCGCCGTCGCTCGGGTCGCGACGCGCGAGGTCTCGCCTCGCTCGGGTCGCGACGGCGAGGTCTCGCCGCCTAGCGAAGGCGAGGCCGCACCTTGCCGTCGCGACCCGGGCGACGGCGAGGTCCCGCCTCGCCCGGCAAGAAAGGCGAGGCCGGACCTCGCCGTCGCTCGGGTCGCGACGGCGAGGTCCGGCCTCGCCTCGCCGGGCGAGCGGGACCTCGCCGTCGCCTCGGGTCGCGACGGCGAGGTCTCGCCTAGCCCGGCGAGGTGAGGCCGACTCGCCCGGCGAAGGCGAGGCGGGGCCTCGCCGTCGGGACTCCAGGCGACTGGCGAGGTCTCACCTCGCCGAATCCGCCCTCGCCGGCGAGGCCAGTGGTCGCCGGCCTCGGCCAAGGGCGGCGACCCTCGCCGACCACTGCGCCCACCACCGCTAGCCCTTCCCGGCGGTGGTGGCTTGGCGGCAGCAGCGGCGAGGGCTCCCTCGCCACTGCTGCAACACCTTATTTGTTTTTTGTTTTTTGTTTTTTTTTAATTATTTTAATTATTATTATTTTTCTAAAAATTAAAAAATTCGAAAAAAAGCCACGTAATTTCCACGTGTACAAGTCGATCATTTTTTAAATATAAATGCCATGTCGACTTTTTGGTCGGAATTTTGGTACGGAATCACTAAAGTGATCGATTTTCCTCCGACTTGACACCAAAGTGATCCGAAAAAAAGTTATGGCACCAAAGTGATCGCCGTACACAAGTTATGGCACGTGTGGTGTACTTTTGCCTATAATTGCGATACGGAACTATGGGGAGGGCGACTGGACATGAAATGCTGAAATTATCAAAAGCCTCCGTGAGGTTTGCTTTTGGATTCAACGTACATACACACATAGCTGTCCATGAAAACTCTATTTCTAGCTAGCATTGATGGAGTACGAACACAAGTGGGCACAGCTAATGTCGTGCATGACTTTCGGAAGTGTCTCAATCGTCTGAGCTACACGAAATCGGCTGGTCTAAATAACATATGGTTTGATGATGCGGTAAAAGCAAAGCAGGTTGCCCTGTTTGTTTAGCGAAAATCTTCCGGTTTATTTTGTTTTCATTTTCATTTGAACATGAAAATAGCATGCAAAAAGGGTCTCCAAAATTGTTTAAACAATTGTAGAGTTGACGAACGGAATGTTACAAAGGATGATTAATAAAATAATCTCTAGTGCTATAATGATTAGAAGATTCCTGGTGGATGTACTTATTACGGCGAACTATCTAATAAATAGATTGTCATCGATTGTTATTGTAATTGGATGTCGAACCCGTGAAAATATATGGCAAGGCCAACGGCATCTCCATGTTACTTCTTGCTTAGTCGCTCCACTAGATGATAACATAGAAAAAGACGCGTGGGGTCTAGAAAAAAAGGGACTAAAGAATGAAAGAGGAAAGACCAAAAGCCTATAGTATCCATTGGTCACGTATTGAGAGCAGTTTCCAAAGGAAAATCCAAAATTGTTTAAGTAATCCTAGAATTGATGAGCAGAAGGTCACAAGAGATTGCTGATAAAATACTCTCTAGTACTGGTATTGGTGAGGAGATTCTAAGTGGATGCACTTCGTACGACGAGCTAACGGGTAATTAGATTTCCATCGACCGCGATCAGATGTCGAACTCCAGAAAAAGTCTGGTCATGTAACTTTGTTGGTTATTCTATTATCAAAATATTCGATAGTTCGTATTTTGTTAATGAGAGGACAAGAAAGTTTATATTCCTTAGTCATGCACAAGGTGAGCGAGAATACGAATATGATGCACGAAATTAAATTCACTTATTGTTAGTAGATAAGTTAGATTCTCAGCTACTTCTGGACAGAAGTGATTGTGAATGTGGCGGTGTTTTTTTTTTTATCAGAAGAACCATATTCATACAATTCTCACGACTTAGCTTGCGAGTACAACGGCAAAGCATCGACGCAAAGTAGACTCCAAAGATCGGGAGGGGGTAGAGTTTCCAATTCCGTGGCATAACATTTTTCTTTGAGCCTTCGCTATCCAGCCGCCACTTTGTTGGACTCTATTACAAAAAAGGTCAACTTAATATCAGTAAAATTTTCCAACAAATCTTTGGCTTTCAAAATAAGCACATGTATATCCCACTTGAAATAATCTACACATGTGATAGCTTTAACCAAGTCTAAATTATCTGACTCTAGTAGAAGGCAATCCTTTGCCCGTTCAAAGAAGAAGACTAGCGTTTCTAGAAGAGCACTGACCTCGGCTCGAGCTGCAGAGTTGGCCCTCACTGTTTTTGCAAAACCATCTACCATTCTTCCATAGCTATCTCGCATCACAGCAGCTATTGCCCCCGACGTTGAACCTTCAATAAAGGAAGCATCAATATTGATCTTCAGGACTCCCTGTTGCGGATTTCGCCAAATTTGAGGTAAGTGTTGGCCTTCAACAGCTTTTCCTTTTCCTAAATTGCTTCGTCGTGCTTCATTTTGCTTCAACTGAGCTGTATTTACCAGCTGATTTGGGTTTGGTTTCGGTCTTCGGAATATGAAATTGTTCCTTGATTTCCAAATAAGCCAAAGGACAGTCACAAGTAGCTCAAAAGGTATAGTTGTGACGCTAAAATTCCATAGCCATTCTTCAATTCTTGGGAGACCTTGATTGGGAAACTTGATTTGCAGTGAAGGATTGGACCAGACTTGTTTCGTCCATGGACAGAGGAGAAAAAGATGCTCAATAGTTTCGGGATGTTGGTGACATAGCTCACACATCGGTTCTGGTACAATACTTCTTCTAAATAGATTTACCTTTGTTGGTAATGCATTTTGACATATCGCCCATAGGAAAAATCTGATCTTCGGTTCTGTGTTTGCCTTCCAAATTTTTGTCCACAATGCTTCGGGGGTTTGATATGAAGAAGAAGCCTGATTTGGGTTTGGTTTCATTGCAAGGTCTCTGTTTCTATTATAGCCACTCTTGACTGTATAGGATCCTTATTTGGTATTTAACCAAACCAATTTGTCATCAGTGTCATGTGACCTCAGTGGGATTGCAAGAATTTCATCGACAAGCTGTTCATCAAAAAGCTGATGTAGCTTTGATTCATTCCACTTCGACTCCTCCTGCAAAATTAACTCAGCTACCCTCTTAGGCTCCTCACGATTAGGTGGACCCCCAATAACTCCCCTATGAAGCCATTTGTCTTCTCTAATGTTAATTTGTTCCCCATTGCCCACAGACCACATAATGGAAGGATGGATAGATGCTCTCCCCATCAGAACACTAAGCCACCCCCATGAGGGACGAGTCCCTTTCCCTGCATGCCAGAAATCACAATTAGGGAAATACAGCCCTTTCAATACTTGAGTCCATAATGAGGAAGGGTTTTGGGTAATTCGCCATGCTTGTTTTCCCAACATAGACCCATTAAAAGTCATTAGATCCCTGAATCCAAGTCCTCCACTATCCTTTCTTCGTTTCAGAACATCCCATTTCCTCCAATGGAGTCCAGCTTGTGTTTCACCATTTTTCCACCAAAAAGACGCAATTTTCTTTTCAATTGCCCTGCAAATGGAGACGGGGATTTTAAAGATAGACATAGCATATTGGGGTAGTGCTTGCACCACTGCTTTGATGAGTATTTCTTTTCCAGCTTTTGACATCAGATTTCCCTTCCAACCTGCTAGTTTCGTGTTTACTCTTGCTAGTATCCAGGCAAACATATGTTTTTTTGATGCCCCCCAGTCTGAAGGGATCCCTAGGTACTTCCCCTTCTTCTCTAATTCTGGAACTCTAAGCTCATATGACATAATCTGTCTCAAACTCAGTGGACAATCCTTGCTGAAATATACCCCTGACTTGTTTAAGTTTATTGATTGCCCAGACGCAAAACAGTATTGATTCAAAACAGCTGCAACTTTTTGGCATTCCATAATCGTTCCATCGAGGAAAAAGATTGAGTCGTCTGCAAACAAGAGGTGAGATAGCGTGGGGCAGAATCTATTCAGCTTGATCCCCTTTATACTTCCGTCCTCCATTGCCTTTTTCATCAAAAAAGATAATACATTACCCACCAAGATGAACAAATAGGGGAGAGGGGATCACCTTGTCTAATTCCTCTTGCTGGTTGAAAATAGGGTAGAGGCTCTCCATTTAGCTTGACACTAAAGGACACAAAGAGAGACACATTGCATAATCCACTTCACCCATTGATCACTGAAACCCATCTTCCCCATGCAAGCTTCCAAAAATCCCATTCAACTCTGTCATAAGCTTTTTGCATATCAAGTTTAAGCACTGCTTGAAACTTTGTTTTTCTCTTTCTGATTCTCAACTGATGTAGCACCTCTTGGACAATTAAGATGTTATCCTGAATTTGTCTTCCACTCACGAAGGCACTTTGCTCAATAGAAATTAAGTTTGGCAAGCATATTTTCAATCGGTTTGCCAAGACTTTTGATATAATCTTGTACGCAAAGTTACACAGGCTTATGGGGCGAAATTGTTCCAGTTTTTCCGGGTTTGGGATCTTTGGAACGAGGGATATATATGTTCTGTTCAGCTCTGAGTTGAGATACCCCGAGCGAAAAAAGTTTTGTACCTCCCTGAAAACTGCTTGTTGTAGCTCTTTCCAGTTATGCTGAAAAAACTGGCCATTTAAACCATCGGGTCCTGGGGCTTTTGTAGATCCCAACTGGTAGACTGCTTCAGTTACTTCTTCTAGTGTCACTGGCTTTGTCAACATCTGGTTCATGTCCTCCCCTACTAGACAAGGATAGTCCTCCAGAGTTGGCTGGAAATTTCGAGGGCCGACTGTTTGAAAAAGGTTGCTGAAGAATTGAGATGTGTGCTGCTTTAGTTGAGTTATATCATGAGCCCATTCCCCTTCTTCATTTTTTAACATGGAGATTTTGTTCCTCTGTCTCCTCTGAATTGTTGTGGCGTGAAAAAATTTAGTGTTTTTGTCTCCCCATTTGAGCTAATTTACTCTCGATCTCATACCCCAGTACATCCCCTCTTGTCTCCACATCTTCTCGATTTCATTTTTTAGAAACTGCACCCTCTCTCTTTCCCAATGCAAGTGTCGGTTGTTGGAGATGTCCTGAAGCTCTCTCTTTAAAAGGTCTATTTTCTTCTTTCCATTGGAGAACTTTGTGTTGCTCCATTTAGATAGAGCCAATGATACCACTTTCAGCCTCTTCAAGCAGATCTTCATTCATCAATTCTTCCGAGTGCCGACTTTTTAATGATGTTTCCACATTCCTCATCTTCCACCAAAAGCCTCAAATTTAAAGTCTTTTTTCCTTTTCACTAACTCGGGAAAGAGAGATAACAAAATAGGACTATGGTCCGACCCTATTGCCGGCAATGCATATGCTTCGGCGTGTGGAAAGCAAATTCGCCAGTCCATAGTGCACAATACCCTGTCCAATCTCTCCTTGACATGATTTTCTCCATCCCTATTATTTGTCCAAGTGAAAGCACATCCCTTACTTTCCAAGTCCATTAAAGAACAAGCATTGATGAAGTCTCGGAAAGCATTGAGTCGATAATGTTCTGCCATGCGCTTCCCTATTTTTTCCCAGTGATAAAGGATTTCATTGAAGTCTCCTATGCAGACTCATGGTAGATCATTCAAGTGGCTAATGTTGTACATATCTTCCCAAAGAACTAGCCTTCTCTGGAACTCATTTGGTGCATGTATAAAGGTCAGTCGCATTCGTTGTTTTGTTTCCTCTAATACGCACACCAAATCTATAAAGAATTTAGAGTTTGATTCCACTATTAAAGATACTCTGTCATCCCAAAAAATAGCCATACCCCTGGCAATACCCCTCGGATTAACCAAAAAACTGTTCTGGAGTCGTAGCTGCCTTCTGAGCCGAAGTACTACTTGTTCTTGATTTTTGGTCTCCATCAAAAAAAATATACTGGGCTTTTCTTGAGCCACTAGGGCTCTGATTGCTTGAATTATCAAGGGATTGCCCAACCCCTGACAATTCCAGCATATAATATTCATATGTAACCCGGTGGCTTATTAGGGCTAGCCACCAAAGCCCATTCCATTGTTCCTGACACCACTTGAATAGGTGTATCCAGCAATTGAGTTTCATCTAGCAACTGCGAGTTTGCCATTTGTGCTTTATAGGGGCTGTACCTGCGTTTCTTCTTAGCAGCAGCTTTCTTTGTCTCTTTAAGCTTCTTAGTCTGAGCAACTTCTGGGAGCGTTTGTACATCAGGGGAGGTAGAGCCACTGCTCTGACCTGTAAACGGCAGATTGGTTGAAATAAAGTCCTCACCCCTCTTGGCTTGTTGCTGCGACTGCTTACTTGTATCCCCAAACATTATGTTCTTTCCCTTTTCTACTTGAATATGGTTGGGCCGAGAGACGGGTTGCGGGGGCTTCACCCCGAAAAGGCACAATCTAGAGGGAAAGTATTGGGGTCTCGAGATAATTTCCTCCTCTATATCCTCCTCCTTTAACTTCCCATAAAAGAGCTTCATAAAAGGATCATGACCCTGTATTTCCGGCTTTAAGCCACCGGCCATAGAGACACTCATCCTCGCCTTCGATTTCCCTTCTTTGAATTCGACTTCTTCACGAATTTGCGTTGTGCCCTAATCTACCACAAGAGTAGCAGAAATTAGGGAGCCTCTCAAACTTATAATCCAACCGAGCTTTTTCCCTCCCATACTAGCAATAAATCCAGATTTTAAAGGGGTTTTCACATCTAAGAGGGCTTTCGCCTTCCCAATTTTGTTAGCTATAACACCTTTCGCATCTACCTTCACATCCATAACCAGACCCAGACTTTTAACAGCTCTTAGAATGACTTCTTCTGTAAGCCATTCAAAAGGAAGTCCGTGGATTTGCACCCAAAAAGGACACGTATCAAACTCATATCGGTGTGGAGGCATATCTGGTTCCGATTTTTTGAGAATCAATAGATGGCTCGAGAAGGACCAAGGACCAGTTTCAAACACCCTCAGAAGTTCTTTCTCAGTCATGAAGGTAATGGCATAAATTCCAGATTCCAAAGGGGAGAAGGTTACATTCTCAAGTCTCCATGCTCTCCTCATTGTGCTTTGGAATGCTAGAAAGTTTATCTTTGGGTTTTGAAACAGCTTGCCAACGAGGGTAAGTCTACCTTCTCTGATTTTGCTTGTAGGAACTGCCTCATCCATTGCAGTAACTTCTGTTCTTGACCAAAGCCTGCCTAATCGTTTGCTGAGTACTGCCATTCGACTTTCTGATTCCTCCTCCCTCTCCATGATCACTTTCCAAAGAAAAAACAGAGCATACAGAAAGACTTACCCGAGACTAGATGTAATCGATTCAAGAATGAAAGACCCAACGCAGAGCGATCAGGAGAACTGCATAGCATTCCGATATGGACTTCAACCGAGAATTTTGTTGGACAAGACGCCGACCATAAATCACCTTCACCTTACCCTCACCGGTAGTGCTCCGAGGTTAGGGCGGGAAGAGTGGTTCGAGCATCAAAACCGGGTTTTGGGCTTTAGGAAACCACTACAAAAAATATGATTTTGCGACGAATTTTGCGACGAAAAATTTGCAAAAATCCGTCGCAAATCGAATTTGCGACGACTTTTGCGACGGAAAAATTCCGTCGCTACTAGGTCGTCGCAAATTTTTGCGACGGAAAATTTAAATTTCCATCGCAAATTTGCGACGAAAAAAAATTCGTCGCAAAATCCATCGCAAAGTTCGTCGCAAATAATTCGTCGCAAAATCCGTCGCAAAATCCGTCGCAAAATCCGCCGCAAAATTCATGGCAAAATTCGTGGCAAAATCCGTCGCAAATTTCGTGGCAAAATTGCGCCGCAAATCGAATTTGCGACTACATTTAATTTTGTGACGCTTACTAGGTCGTCGCAAAATTAAATCACAAAGTTCGTCGCAAAATTCGTCGCAAAAATCGTCGCAAAATTCGTCGAAAAATCCGTCGCAAAATTCGTGGCAAAATTCGTGGCAAAACTCGTCGCAAATTTCGTGGCAAAATTCGTCGCAAAATTAGCCACGAACTTTATTCGTCGCAAATTAGCCATGAACTTTATTCGTCGCTAAAATTGCCACCAAATTTTTTTACTTTTGCCATGAACATTATTCATGAACAAATTTAGCGACGATTTTTTATTAATTCTTTAACGACGAACTCTGCAACGAATATCGTTTAGGGACGAAATTAGCGACGAAATTTTAATTTTGGAACGAACTTTTGTAATTTGTGATCGTACGATAAAATCATTTATTTTATTTTTGTGATTTTAAACCTAATTAAAAGAAAAATTAATTTTTGGAATTTATATTTAACATTGATTAAACACTTAATAACATCAAAATATTATAATAATATGAAAATGAAATACATTCATCTACATTTTCCACAAAAATGACATAAATATTTTTCTTTATAGTACACATAATGAGAGAATAAATAATCTTGCACAATAACTAATCTTTGCACAATAAATAATGACGACAGAAATAAATCAAAAAAGAATATCCTGCTTTTAGCGACAATACCCATCATATAAATACTGAACAAAACTAAAGACACGGTCCATGTGAGATGCTCACTTCCTGCTCCAGTTTTAATAAATGCCGGTTGAAATGTTGTTTGCAACCTCTCATTTGCATAACTTATGCAGAATTGCTCAAAGCTGTTCTTCTACAAAACATAAATTGTCTGGAATTAGACACAAAATTAGTGACATTGTTTCCACATTAAATGTTAATATATTCAGCTTCTAAAGGATACATAATGACTGTACACGGCATAGATTGTGAGGATATGAAAAGTGCAAGGCGTTCATGGCTCAATGTGAATGATATACCTGCATGTACATGAATATTGGATCTAAGCAAGCTTACAAACTCAAAAGCACATTAATAGCAGACATCGAGTTAAGTCTTTAAGAGAAAGCCTCGAAGCCATTACCTGCAAGGATGATTACAAGAGCTGTTGTCCAAAAACTTCCATAAAACCACAAGAAGACAGTGCCACAAAGTGCAAGCAGCAAAAGTGCAGCGGCAAACCCCACAAAAATACCCACAAGAACATCATTGCACCTGAATGAATGCAAACTTCAGTCAGTAAAAAGGAATGCAGCAGAAGCAAAGTGTGCTTAATAGAGTTATTCTGAACATTTCAGAAAGAGCAACTGAGGAATGAATTCTAGGAACATAGACAAAAGAGGATGTGTATCTTACTAGATAAAATCCAGCAAGAATACCGTGTGGCTCCAAGGAGTTTGGAAGTGACAACAGGTAATACTCTATGCTTATTTTGATTTCTTCTACTTTGACAGGAAGGAGGAGTTGCACATATTTATAAGCTCAGTTCAGGATGAAATATTGACATACAAACATGAATGGATCCAGGGTAACAGGTCATGTCAGGATGGGAAAGGATAACTTGAACCAGCAATACAATAGGAAGTCAATAAAAATAGCTTGTGAAGTGACGAGTGACTTTTCGACCTAAAAGGAAAAAAGTGATGAGTGACTTACCGAGACCACAAGAAACTTTACCATGCCGACCATAGCGATAGCTGAGAAAATTCCACACCATATGATAGAAAAGAAAGATGTAGTCCCCATATGTAGGAAAGAATCGATTCCCCTAAGAGTGCAATCCAACCAAATCATTGATAAGAGAAACATTGTGTTCCCAAAGTATACAAGCCATTTCAAAACAACCTAGTAGGCCAGCTCAATCTTCACTTTGACATAGTCACGAGCCTTTAGTATGTCACCTTTGTGACTCTAGCCACTCTCCAGCTGCCCTTAGGACACACAAAACTGATCTTCTCACATTTCTAACAACTAAATTGTCAAATATGTGGACATTTTCTATTAGATTCGTTATATGCCCATTCAGCTTGCAGCCCAGGCCACCTTTTCGGCTATTTTGACAATTATTATCACAATGTAGTCCACCTTGTTCTCTCTCGTGGGACATGCCCATAGGAGATGCATTTTGAATATAATCCCCTGAAGATTCCCCAGACAGAACTGGGTGCTCTAATCCCTGAGCTGCATCTGTCCCTTGTTTATCCATACTCATTAGTTTCCCAGTTCCTTGACTCATGCTCTCAGCCGACACGTTGCTCGAGTGATGACTGTTCACAGTTGTCTCTTTAGGAGGAATCTTCACGTCAGTAGCTTGTCTTCTTTCTTGATGTGTTTCTGAACCCTTCTTTTTGCCATTCTGTGAGGAACTACTAACCCCATTCTTCTGCTGATTGCCCTTCCTAGCCATGAGTCAATATCCTAGGAGATTCTTCCTGGGTTAGGATACCAAGTTAATACATCCCCATCAATCAAAGTTGGCTTGCCATGCTGATAAGTGTTTTACTGCCATACCATCACCCATATTAAAACAGATGTCAGAGCTTATCTACCATCATTTAGGAAAAATAAGATGCCAACCTCGTTGACAGAGCACACTCCACAACTTCAAGAAAAGCTTGGTCAAGAAGTTTATGCACCTAAAATCGTAATTTATACCTTCCAAAGAGATGCATTTTACAAACTGTAAGACCTAAAAACACAGTAACATTGTTTTTTACTTTTTAATTTCAACGCAGTAGCTTCTAGTTATAATTACAAAAAAGCAAGGGAAAAAAAAATCAAAGGTGCTAGAAGTTTTGAGAAATCCATGGTCTAAACCCTCCAAAATCACTTGAAGCAGGGGGGAGCCAATTCCAAACTGAATTACAGGTCAGAACGACTTCACCAAGCAAGCTCTGTTACCAAAGGCGACTCAACAGTCACTTAGCATAACAAAAGTTGCAAGCTTCCGCTATTTAACCAATACTCCTCTGGGGAACCACAGACATAGGTAAGAACTTTCAACGGAATCGAACTGAACACATTCCCAAGTAAAGAAAAGTGTAAATTCAAGACCCAACAACCAAAAAGTTTACTTCCCCGAGAGCATTGCAAAAGCTCCGAATTTGAACACTCAGCCCAGTAATTCAGCTAACAGAACCCCGCTGGATACGAAAATCAAAAGCCAAGCAACACCACTGTCGCACCCAGAAACATCGCTTGAAATTCAGCACGCAACACTAGCACTAAAATCACGAATTACAACACCAGAACCCCCTTTACCCCAAACTACACCCGAAACAGTCGAGAACGAGCAGGAACGCAGCTAGAATCGAGCAATCAGGCACCCGAGAGAACGGGAGGAGCACGCAATCAAACGAACGAGCCGGCAATCGGGTGCAAGAATCACGGAACGCGACGACCCCATCCAGCGAACACCAACCGGAACACCCAAAGGGGAAGTACCTCGAGGCCAGTTCGGCGGCGGCGCCGCCCCCCAATTCGGACGAGGGAGGGACGGGGGCGAGGGAAACACGGGGGGCCGAGGGAACCCGAAGGGACGCGGGGCCCAGCTGCTGCTGCTGCTGCTGCTCCTCCTCCGCGGCGGCGCGTCCTCTCCACCATCATCGAAGCTGCGGTGCGAGGGGTAGGTTCTATATCTAGCGAGGGGTACAGCGAGTGCAGATCTGATCGAGAGACGAAAGAGGGAGAGGCAGGGAGAACAGCGAGTGCAGGGAGGATCTGAGGAATCAGCAGAGAGAGAGAAGAGAATGGCGGGTGAGGGCGGGCAAATTGGAAGTGAGGGCAGGGAACGCGAAATTTTGCGACGGACTTCTTTGTCCGTCGCAACTAGCTACGGACAACTTTTTCCGTCGCTAATTTTAGGTACCGAATGATAACCATTCTGTTCCGAAATGAGTTTCTGAACCAGAAATAGAAAAATGGATGAGTTTCTGAGAAAAAAAAACCCGTTTGATAATGACAAAAAATTTCTATTTCTAGAACAGAAACCCGTTTGATAACAGCACAAAATTTCTAATTCCCAAATAAAAACCCGTTTGATAAACAACATGAAAATTCTATTTCCAGAATAAAAATCCATTTTTTAGAAATGGAATAAAAAATTCGAAAAATTCATAAAAATCTTTAAAAAAATTCAGAAAATCCCAAAAATTGAAAAATTCCAGAAAAAATCATCAAAATGTCGAGAAAATAAAAAAATTTAGATTTCGGAAAATAGGAAATTTGTTGAATTTTTTTCAAAAAAATCAAGAAATCAAAATTTCAAAACTTCACTTGTAATTGCTGTAAATACCCGTGGCCACCCACTTTTAGTGAAATTTAAATTTTTTAAGTGCAAAAAAAATCAAAAAATCAAAAATTTCAAAACTTCACGTAATAGCTTAGAATACCTGCGCCACCCACTTTGAAATGAAATTTAAATTTTTTAAGGTGCTTAAAAAAATTCAAAACTCAAAATTTCAAAACTTTACAAAATGGCTTAGAATACATGTGGCCACCCACTTTGAGTGAAATTTTAATTTTGGAGGTGAAAAAAAGCAAAAAATAAAAAATTTCAAAACTTCACAAATGACTTAGAATACATGTGGCCATCCACTTTGAGTGAAATTTAAATTTTTTAGGTGAAAAAAACATAAAAAATAAAAATTTCAAAACTTCACAAAATGACTTACAATACCTCTAGCCACCCACTTTGAGTAAAATTTAATTTTTTTTAGATGCCCAAATGGTATTTTTGATTTTTTTTTTATTTTTTTGGTTCCTAAAGAAAATTAAATTTCACTCAAAGTGGATGGCCACATGTATTCTAAGCCACTCTGTGAAGTTTTGAAAATTTTTCTTTTTGCTTATTTTTATTTTTTTTCGACACCTAAAAAAAATTAAATTTCACTCAAAGTGGGTGGCCATAGGTATTCTAAGCAATTATGTGAAGTTTTTTATTTTTTATTTTTTTTTTTTTTCGGCACCTAAAAAATTTAAATTTCGCTTAAAGTGGATGGCCACAGTATTCTAAGCCCATTTTGTGAAGTTTTGAAATTTTTTTCTTTTTTTTTTTTTATTTTTTTTCGGCACCTAAAAAATAAAATCTCGCTCAAAGTGGGTGGCGCACATGATTTTAAGCCATTCTATAAAGTTTTGAAATTTTTACTTTTTTTGCTTATTTTTATTTTTTTGGCATATAAAAAATTTAAATTTCACTCAAAGTGGGTGGCCACGTATATTTTAAGCTATTCATGAAGTTTTGAAATTTTTATTATTTTAATTTTTTACCTAAAAAAATTTAAATTTCACTCAAAGTGGATGGCCACAAGTATTCTAAGCCATTCTGTGAAGTTTTGAAATTTTTGATTTTTTGTTTTTTTATTTTTTATTTTTTTCGGCACCTAAAAAAATAAAATTTCGCTCAAATTGGGTGGCCACAGGTATTCTAAGATATTCTGTGAAGTTTTTAAATTTTAGAATTTTTTATTTTTTTTTGGCAACTAAAAAAATTAAATTTTGCTCAAAGTGGGTGGCCATAGATTTTCTAAGCCATTTTGTGAATTTTGAAATTTTTTATTTTTATTTATTTATTTTTATTTTTTTCGGTACCTAAAAAAATTTAAATTTCACTGAAAGTGGGTAGCCACAGATTCTAAGCCATTCTGATTAAGTTTTGAAATTTTTGATTTTTTGCTTTTTTTTCTCACCTCAAAGATCGTGACTTCCATATGAATATGTGTGTTGAAGAAAATGAATTCCTCGAAATGGTTCTCACTTTTGTTCCGTAAATGAAAAACCAACTTTTTTTGGTTCTCATTTCTAGTTTCGAAATCGCTTTTGGAAGCAAACTTGTCCCGGAAATAGAAAAATGAAATTGCGTTACCAAACGGGTTTCTGGTCCAAAACTGATTCTGGGAATAAAAAACCAGTTCTGGACAGAACCAGAATGATTTTCATGCAGCACCTTAGCGACAGACTTCTTTTTCCGTCGCTAATTTCAGCGACGGACTTCTTTGTCCGTCGCAAATTAGCGATGGACTTTTTTTTCCGTTGCTAATTTTAGCGACGGACAAAAATGTTCGTCGCTAATTTTCCAAGGCTCAATTTATTTTTTATAGTGTAATTTTGTGATGGATTTTAGTCCGTGCCTCATTAGCGACGGATTTACCCACGAAAATAAAAAATAGTTGGGAAAGTGAAGCAAGAGTTTATTTTCGTCGTTATCCGTTCGTTCGGCGGAAAATATTCTCCTTTTGGAAAATATTTTCCTGGAAGTCATTTTCCTGGAAAACGTTTTCCCGAAACATAATTTTCCGGTGTTCGGCGATCAATATGAAAAAGTTTCGAAAAATATTTTTCGCCGAAGACAGCGGCGGCGGCCGGCGGGCGGGCGGGCGGCTCAGCGGCGGGCGGCCTGGCGGTTGGCGGCGGGCTACAGCACGACCAACGGCGGCCGGCGGCCAACGGCGGTGACCGGCGATCAACTTCCTCTCCCACGGAAATCATTTTCCCTCCCATGGGCAATTTTACCTTCAACTTGGGGGAAAATGATTTCCTATTTTCACAAAGAGGAAATCATTTTCCTCAAAACAATGAAGAATTTGGGGGTGGGGAAGGAAAATGTTTTCCCACGGAAAATATTTTCCGCCCCCAAACACCGGAAAACGCGGAAAATGTTTTCCGGAAAAATATTTTTCTGCAAACGAACACAGCCTAAATCCGTGGCTAATTAGCTACGGATTTAGCGACGACCTTTTAAAAAATAATTAAAAAATTCAAATTTTTTACAAAAATAAAAAAGAGAAATAAAAAATAATTAAGAAATTCGATTTTTTTAAAATAAAAATATTTAAAAATTCTTTTATTTTTTTGATCTAAAATAAAGTCATGAGATTGAAATCATTTTCCAATGAAATCCAAACATCAGAAAACGATTTCCATCGTATATCACCAAACGAATGAAAACTAAACGTATTCATGGAAAATGATTTTCCGGAAAACACTTTCCTTTATCATTAAGTTTTCCGCAAAATAAACGTACCCTTAGAGTGATTACCAACTTTTTTCGATCAAGTTACTAACTAGTTTTATGTTACCTTCTTTTATTTGGTTTTCTATTTTGAAATGACCGACTTTTCTTATCTCTAACAAAAATACATTTGTAATTTTCTACCAGCTTTGAATTTATCTTCTATTACATGAAATTATCAACTTTTTTGTGTGCCTCATTAACTTTTGCCCAATTAAGTTACCAATTAGTTTTGGATTGTCAACTCTAATTTGAGTTGCTTACCCATTTGGTTTTTTAACTTACCAATTTTTATATTGAGTCATGCTTCTTTTTGCATGACTTACTAATCCCATTTTACGATTTAATACCAATTAATTTTCTATTACTAACTGTTATTTTACTTAATTACTAACATTTATTTGATTTTATCGTCGCTAAATCCGCGACGGATTCTTTTTCCTTCGCAAATTTGAGTCAGATTTTTTTCCCGGTGCAAATTTGCGATGGATTTTTTTTCCGTCGCAAATTTGCGACGGATTTTTTTTTCGGTCGCAAATTTGCGACGGATTTATTTTTCCGTCGCAAATTTGCGACGGATTTATTTTTCCGTCGCAAATTTGCGTCCGATTTTATTTCCAGCGCAAATTTGCGACGGAATTTTTTTTTCCGTCGCAAATTTGCGACGGATTTTTTTTTTCCGTCGCAAATTTGCGACGGATTTATTTTTCCGTTGCAAATTTGCGTCCGATTTTATTTCCAGCGCAAATTTGCGACGGATTTTTTTTTTTCCAGCGCAAAGTTGTCCGGACTACCCTTTCAGTCAAACTCCGCAGTGGGAATGGAAATTGACCAATGAGAAGATAAAGCATGTGGAAATGTTGGTGGTGCAAAAGAAAGACGCGTGGGGTCTACAAAAAAGGGACTAAAGAGAAAAAGAGGATAGACCCAAAAACAGGCATATGATCTTGCTCGTGGATCACGTGGAAAGGGCAGCCACGAATCTCTATGCAAGTGAAAATGATTTGAACGTTCAACATCTGGTGCTGCCTGGTAGACACATAAATGTATTTAGACCCATCAAGGTCAGCAATCAATGTCTTGAACCGCAGTTTCCAACATCTAGTAGCGAAATGCTCTCATTAACTTAAGAAGTTAGTGTATTTAGACTCTGTATATTTGGTCATGAAAGAAGTAAGCTTGTCAATAAGAAGATGCAAGTTTGAGTGATGGATATCAATATTGGTGAAAAAAATTTAAGTTAGCCGGTGTTTGAATACACTAATTAAGAGACCATGACAAGGTCTGACTTGAGGATCGAATCACCGTTTCTTGATGAGTTTGCATCAACATGGAAACATGGCATGTCACCATCTGAAGAAGCTTTTCTGTGTCTTTGAGATGGCAGTTTTCAAAAAGACACATACTTTTTGAAAATGCAATGTCAGCCTTTACCGCCATAATCATTTCATTCGCCAAGAAAAAGGAGATGGCGGTGAGTATGTTTTGCATGTTTTGATCAATAAACCAACAAAGTTTCTCACACAAATAGCTCTCAATTCTCCCTTAGGCAATAAACGAAACGAGTCATATTCAACTCACCAAATATACAGAGTCTTAGACAAAATTCATCTTCTTACAGAAAAATAAAAATAGTGAGAAAATGTGATGATACAATGCTTATCTTACTGCTCCACCGTTCCATGACACAAAAGTAGGGCATGTCCTTAATTGCAAAACTTGCTAAAGACTCACAAAGTTCATATGTAGTGTTAAACAAAAGACTACAACTCATTTTGCTCAATCCAGAAGTGCACAA